GGCGCTCGGAGAAGTCCATCAGCAGTTGCAACTTTCACGGAAGAAGTCCAGCCACACCGCAGATTGGGCACTGAACGCGGATGTCGTGCGGGCGGCGAATTCCGCAACGTTGCGCTCCTGCCTCGAGAAGGCGAGACGCAGGGCGTCAATCTCCTCCCGCTGTGCACGGGCATGGGCATCAGCCTGCGTCACGGACTCGCTGTGTTCCCCTCGCAGCACGTCCATCTCCCTCTCCGCAGTGCGGCGTGCATGGCCCAGCAGTGAAGCATGGTGATCGTCAAGCAGGCTGTGGCGCTCACTCGCCTCCTCGGCGAGCAGGCAACGACACTCCTCCAGCTCCTCTGCCATCGACACAGCCGCGGCATGAAACATCTCCGCTTGGTTCCGCCGCAAGCTCGCAAGATTCTTTTCCAGCACGCGCACTGTTACCTCGTGCTCCTGCCGGAGTCCACGGAGCTCCCCCTCGTGCCTCTGCCGCATTGCTGCCGCAGACGCCAAGCACGCAGCCTGGAGGCTGTCCACGGCGGTGCCGAGGAGGGCCCATTGCGCGCCGGTGTGTTCGTTGTACAGTGAGCTGTTCCCTTCCACCAGGTGCTCGACTGCCCGTAGGAGCCGCAGGCCCTCCATTGCCTTTTTAACAGCATCGTCCCTCGTGCTTTCCGTGGCGCGTATTATGCCCCGCAACTTCTCCTCATCCGCATCGTGCTTCTGTTGGAGTTGCTGCCGCGCCTCACACGCCGATTCCCTTGTTTGCTGCAGCAGTAGCTCCATCTGCCGAAGTTCACCCTTGTGCTGTTCCGCCATTGCGCAGCTGCCCGTAAGATGCTGGAGGTTTGCCGCGTGAAGTTCTTCCTGGAGCTCCTTTGCCCTCCCGGCTGCGTCGTCCGCCTGCCTCGCCAACAGCCGAGCGTGGTTCTCATACTCGTCGTGCATCATCTGGAGAAGCATACCGACCTTGCCCTCGTCCGACTGTAACGCGTCGTGCAGCCGTCCCTCCACGGTGGCCAAGTACTGCTTCGCGCGGCGACTCACCGTCTCCAGCTCCAGGCGCTTGGCCGCCTGTTGCGCGTGCATCGCCTTCGCATGGAGTGCGGCGGCACTCTCCATTTCTTCACCCTTCTGCCGCAGAGCCTCGGCGAAGCTCGCGGTTTCCACGTCAAGGAGAGAGCGTGCCTCTCGAACCTGGGCCTCTGCGCCGCGTTCGACACGCGCAAGCTCCTCCAACACCACAGCGTGGCTCGTGTGGAGCGCGGCAGCGTGGCGCTCGGAGAAGTCCATCAGCAGTTGCAACTTTTCACGGAAGAAGTCCAGCCACACCGCAGATTGGGCACTGAACGCGGATGTCGTGCGGGCGGCGAATTCCGCAACGTTGCGCTCCTGCCTCGAGAAGGCGAGACGCAGGGCGTCAATCTCCTCCCGCTGTGCACGGGCATGGGCATCAGCCTGCGTCACGGACTCGCTGTGTTCCCCTCGCAGCACGTCCATCTCCCTCTCCGCAGTGCGGCGTGCATGGCCCAGCAGTGAAGCATGGTGATCGTCAAGCAGGCTGTGGCGCTCACTCGCCTCCTCGGCGAGCAGGCAACGACACTCCTCCAGCTCCTCTGCCATCGACACAGCCGCGGCATGAAACATCTCCGCTTGGTTCCGCCGCAAGCTCGCAAGATTCTTTTCC